TGCTTTGGTTGCTTTGAAAGTAACCAAGGGGCCCAGTGTGGTAGCCTAGTGGCTAAAAGTCCTCACCTTGCACGGGCCAGAATCCCATATGGGCACCAGTTCTAATCCCAGCTGCTCCACTTCCCTTCTAGCATCCTGCTTCTGATCTGGGAAAGCAGTAGAGAACGGCCCAAAGCTTTGGGACCCTGCAACCGTGTGGGAGACCCGAAGAAGCTCCTGGGTCCTGGTTTCAGATCAGCTCAGCTCTGGCCATTGCAGCTACTTTGGGGAGTGAACCAGCAGATGGAAGATCTCTCTGTAGCTCTTCCTTTCACATAAAAACAAGTACATCTTTTAAAGACAGAGTGAATGAAGGGATTCAAAATTCCCTACAAATAACATTACTAAAAATATGTTGATCTAATCAGGAAGCCGTTTCTGCCCACTGGCTCCTGCCACAGCTGTAAAAAAGGTACTAAATGATTTCCAGGGAAGGAAATGTAAGGCAGGTTGTTCGTGTGTAATGATTTAAAGTGAAGAGTTACTTTCTCTATACTAGCTGATTATTATAAATACCTGCAATACTGAATATTCAGTCTTATATCCTAAAGCAAAGAGGGAAAAGCCTGGTAAAATAATAATAAAACAGATTTCCACTTTAGAAGTTTGTTAAAAATATTCTGACCTAAATACTTTTTAGGTTTGCATTCTACTCAAGGAATTGGGATCAACAGGTAAACTCAGCCCAAACCTTCCTCCAGCCTTCCTCAGTCTCTCTCCTTCATTCCAGCTTCTTGCAAGAACTGTCTTTCCCTACTACCCGCTCTCCCTCATCTTCCATCTCTTCTGATCAGTGCTATATGGCTTTGCTTACTACGAAACTGCTCTTGCCAGCATCAATACAATCTATGTTATTAGTACACTAACTTAGCCGCACTCTCTTGCCTGACTTCTGAGTAGGACTTGACCCAGCTAACCATTCTCTTCCGGCTGAGAAGTATCTTCCCTTCTTGTCTGAGGTGCTCGGGCCTTTCTTCAGTGGATCTCTTAGCTGTTGCTCTTCTGCGGTGAGGGTGTGGAGTGAGCTGGCCAGTGTTAAACCTCTCACTCTACATGCATTGCCTAGGAGACCTTATCTACTTCTGTATCTTCACTGACCTTTTTCTTGCTAACTTTCACCTGAACTTTATTTCTGAAGGGCCTCAAACTCAGGAGTAAAACAACTCATTTCCTCCTCATCCCCAGATTCCCTCCTTCCTGGGTGCGGTCCAGGGACCCAGGACTCATCCTCAATGTCTCCTACCTCTTTACAAAAATTTAATCTCCACTTGAATCCTAGCAAATAAGCATTTCCAGTCTTTCCACTTCACTCCATTTCTGCTGATACCATCCAAGTCCCATCCACTTTTATCTTTTGCCTGGGGTTATTTCAATAATCATTCTCTCCTTTCAATCCACTCTACAATCCAAGCACAGCAGGCTTACAAAAATACCAACGTGTCACATTCATCTATACCAAATCCTTCAGTGGCTTCCAACTGCCCATACAATAAAGTCTTTGTAGGCCTTTTATTTTTTTTAAGATTTATTTATTTTTATTGCAAAGTCAGATATACAGAGAGGAGGAGAAACAAGAGAGGAAGATCTTCCATCTGATGATTCACTCCCCAAGTGGGCGCAACGGCCGGTGCAGCGCTAATCTGAAGCCAGGAGCCACCAGCCACCTTCGGTCTCCCACGCATGTGCAGGGTCCCAAGGCTTTGGACCATCCTCGACTGCCTTCCCAGGCCACAAGCAGGAAGCTCGATGGGAAGCGGGGCTGCAGGATTAGAACCAGCGCCCATATGGGGTCCTGGTGTGTTCAAGGCGAGGACCTTAACCACTGTGCCACCGCGCCAGGCCCTAGGCACTGGTTCTAATCCCGGCAGCTCCACTTCCCATCCAGCTCCCTGCCTGTGGCCTGGGAAAGCAGTGGAGGACGGCCCAAAACCTTGGGACCCTGTACCCGTGTGGGAGACCTGGAACAGGTTCCTGGTTCCCGGCTTCACACGGCACAGTACCGGCCATTGCGCTCACTTGGGGAGTGAATCATCAGACGGAAGATCTTCCTCTCTGTCTCTCCTCCTCTCTGTATATCTGACTTTGCAATAAAAATAAATAAATCTTTAAAAAAAAAAAAAGAAATGGATCAGACAGAACCTGAACGTGCACTGCAACATGGGATACCAACCAATGTCCTAAGTGACAGCTTCACCTGCTGCACCACAACGACAGTATCCCAAGGATCTCTTCGGTATTTTGTGTGGATCCTGACTTCAACAAGACAAGAGAGCCCAGCGCAATAGCGTAATGTTTAAGGTCCTCGCCTTTGAATGCACACCAGGATCCCATGTGGGCGCTGGTTCTAATCCTGACAGCTCCACTTCCCATCCAGCTCCCTGCTTGTGGCCTGGGAAAGCAACCAAGGACATCCCAAAGCTTTGGGACCCTGCACCTGCATGGGAGACCTGGAGGAAGTTCCTGACTCCTGGCTTCAGATCAGCGCAGCACCAGCCGTTGTCGTCACTTGGGGTGTGAAACATCAGACGTTGATTTTCCTCTGACTCTCCTCCTCTCTGTGTATCTGACTTTCCAATAAATATAAAATAAATCTCTAAAAAAAAATAAGCAAAACAGTCCTTGTCTGCAAGGAACTTCCAATCTGAAGCACAGAATCAAACCAAATGCATGAGGTTAGGCATGGCTTCATGGAGATCTTGCCACTAGACATGGTCCTGAATCAGAACACTACAGTGAAGGAGGGAACTAGCCTGAGTTCAAGATGGAGGTAAAAGACTCATGGATTTACCAAGCCCTTTGTACACTCACCCCTCAATTTACACCTTCTGCCACTTTCCCTCTGCCTTTCAGAATGGAAGTACAGAGGCCAGCAGGTGAAGATGCTGCCTGCAACAATGACATCCCAATTTCAATGCCAGGTAGGAGTCCTGGCTGCACCTCTTTTGATCCAGCTCTCTGTTAATGTACCTGGGAAAAGTAGCAAAGCATGGAACCAGTGCTTGGGCCCCTGACACCCACGTGGGAGACCTAAATGGACTCCAAGCTCCCGGTTTTGGGCCTAGCACAACCTAGACCTTTAAGGCCACTTGGGGAGTAAGTCAGCAGATGGAAGACCTCCCTCCTTGTAAGTCTTTCAAATAAATAAGTCTTTAAAAGCAAAGGAATGGAGGCACAGAATGCGTATACTCAAAGTACTTAATAAACTTAACTGCACTTAAGCAAACAAAGGCGGAAAAGCAGTTTATAGTAAGTATTTCTGTTGGGACCCAGTCCAACATACATTGTCCTCCCCCAAAACTGTCAGAAACATTTCTGGCTTTGGCAATTGCAGGCGTCCAGGGGGTGAGAAGGGGGTTGAACAAGTGGATGTGAAATTCTTATATTCTGTCTTCTTTTGAAACAAAAATTGGGTTTTTGTTTTTACGATTTATTTTTTTTTTTATTAGAAAGTCAGATAGGAGGAGAGGAAGATCTTCTGTCCAATGATTCACTCCACAAGTGACCACCACAGCTGGAGTTCCGCCGATCCAAAGCCAGGAGCCTGGAATCTCCTTCAGGTCTCCCACACAGGTGCAGGGTCCCGAGGCTTTGGGCCGTCCTCCACTGCTTTTCCAGGCCACAAGCAGGGAGCTGGATGGGAAGTGGGGCTGCCGGGATTAGAACCTACACCCATATGGGATACCGGTGTGCATTCAAGGAGAGGATTTCAGCTGCTAGGCCACCATGTCAGGCCCTCAAACAAAAGTTTTTAAAAACCCAAGAACATAATACATGTGTTCCTGTAAAGGGCCAGAAAATCATTCTAGCAGAGACTAAGCAATAAATGTTACATTTTAGTGTGAGACAACTCTAACAGGATTTGACAGTAAAACACACTTGCTAACAGAGAAATCTGCAGCGATCAACCTGGTGGGGATGTACAAATTTGGTGCTGGTGGGCAAAGCATCAATTCCTGGAACAACCTGCTGCTTCCCTGAGGTTCTCATGTCAAATTACTGCATGGCCCAAACACTGCATCCCTTACTTTTAGAAACCTTTGCATATGCAAATAGGAGCTTAGCTTTACAGGAGCCTCATTCTATTTTCTTAAGAGACTGTAACTTAGGTTGGTAACCATCAAAACTGTTTTTTTTTTTTTTAAGAAACAACAAATGATTAATTCTCTTTCATTTCTACCTTCCCTTACAGAAGAGTTGAATTATTTCTTATTCTTCTCACCCTGTCAACCTGTGACTGTTGCGTGGGCAGCAATCCTTCAAATCCAAGTTCACAGGGAGGGCTCTAGCTCACACAACTTTTGTCTCCCTGCACCAAATTCCATAGCTATTGCTTACAAGTGAGTGGCAGCAATAATCAAACCCAACAAATTGGCCCAGTAAAAAACTATCTTCCAACTGAGAAAAGGATGTATGGATGGATCCTAAAACAGGACCAACACACTCCCTTAACACAGACTCATCTCCACACAGCACATACACCTGTAAGCAGACTGGAACATTCAGGTCAAATTTTGCATACTTTATTTGCTCGCATCTCTAAATCAGAACACTGACGTGATCTTGGGCCCCTAAATAACATCAAACCTACCCCCTAGGAAACTAACTAATCACACAGATTGCCAGCCCTTTCAGAAACTTTTTTACCATGCAAATGCAAATGATAGTTTAAAACCCAATTTTACAACCAGGCCCTTTGAAGTCGGGCCAAGAACATCAAAGAAGGATCTGAAGCAGTGTCTCTTGAGCCTGCCCGCTCTTTGTGGCATGCAGACACACCTGCACACACACCTCCCGTTCAGTAACAGACACTTTCAAATCACTCAGAAGCCGGCTGTCAAACCAGTCGCCACAGAATCCGTGTGCTTGCAGGAATGCGGCTAAGCACTGCTCAAAGCCCAGCAGCCCCGTTCTTCACTGGGCCGTCCACGGAACAACAGGCACCCAGTGGGATGCTTTCTTACCTGTGGAGTCATCGTGGAGGGGTCTGGCTCCGGGGCGGCTTGCTGCTGCTGCTCGCTACTCTTGATCTTGGCCCCACTTTCCAAAGGTTCTTGTTGGCCACCTGTCCTAGTTCCAGCGGGGGTGGACGGTGGTGGTGGGGGGAGCAGGCCTTTCGAATGGCCCTGGGAGGGGCGGGAAGGGGATGCCTGAGAAGACGGCAGGTAGGACTGGGAATGGCTCAAATAGGATTGCGAGGAAGAGGAGGAGGAAGAATAAGAAGGGGTAGGCCCTAGGTAGGATTGGGAAGGTGGGGACTGCGAAGGAGACGGCTGAGCAGGAGGAAGGTAGGGCTGAGACGAGGACGGAGGGTAGAAGGAGGGTGGTGGGTGAGGCGGGGGCATGTAAGATTGAGACGGGGGCATATAGGACCCGGGAGGTACAGGGGGAGATTCAGGGGGAGAGTCCAGCTCCATCGGAACCAAACCAGGAGGCCCGTCTCGTTGGTGGTGGAGCATCTGGTGTTTGTACTGCTGCTGCTTCTGATAGCTGAGGGCCGGACCGGGTGGCGGGGGCATCGGTGGCGGTGGCGGCTGCCAGTCTCCATAGCCACCCCCGGGCATCCCCGGCGGGGGCGGCAGCGGGGGCGGAGGAAGGTGGTGGGGCTGGAGCACGCACTGCATTTGCTTCTGATGCATCTGCTGCAGCTGCTGGAGCTGCGCCAGGTGCTGCTCGCGGAAGCTCATGAAGCCCGAAGAGGAAGGGGCCGCAGAAGTCGTCGAGCTCGAGTAACCGGGCCCCGGCGAGGCCTCAGGAAGCGCCACCGGAGGCGGCGGCGGGACCGGCGGCGGCAGGTAGTGGCTGCTGCCGCCATACCGGCCCCAATTCGGGTACATATCGGAAAAGGAGGCGCAAGGCCCGTCCTGGCGCCGTTACTCGTCGCAACCGACCTCCAAGAGCCACGGCGTTGACGGCGACGGCCGGAACTCGCGGCGTCTCCAGGCCCCGGAGCGTGTAAACGGAGCGCGCCAGTGCGCCGGCGCTACCGAACTGGGCCTGCGACCGGGAAGGCGGGGACGGCCCTGGACCGACTACGCCTGCGCAGAAGCAGCGAGAGGAGAACAAAGGCGAGATAGAGCTGCCCGTGGCTTGCTGGCTCGCGGTTGCCATCTTCCGTCGTATTCTGATAAAGCAGGCGTGCGTCGAATGTTCTCATAGAACCGACGAACCATAGAGTCTCGCAGCTGAAAGGGGGGCCGAGATCCTGCGGCTCCAGGGGTTCATTTTTGAATGGGGGGAGGGGAAAAAAAGGTTCCATTCACAATGGCAACAACCGATGCATCAACCAAAAAGAAAAAGGAAAAGAAAAACCCGCATAAAACCGCTAGAAGTTTACTCTAGTAAAGATGTATCGCTTATATGAAGAAACTTGCAGAATCACAGATTTGAAGTAATAGGCTTTTCTCATGGTCCTGAGCTGAAAAGAGGAAAAATGGTGAAGATGCGAGCAGTTGTTTCTGAATTAAATAGCTTCCCTTCAGTTCTGCCAAGAAAAAAAAAAAAAATCCAGTTGGGAACAAAACTGTTCCCAGGAACAGAGAGGACCCTATTTAGAACGGCCCCCAATTCCTGCCGGAGTGTCATGGATTAAAGTAGAGAAATGGAGCCTTTCCGATTCACACACAGAGAGATCCATGTCGGACACCCTCGAAGCTAAAGCCAAGATAGCAAGGTTTGGCCACAGAGATTGTCTAAAGAAGATGGCCCAGGTGATAATCCACCGAAAAATGTTTCGTCCTAATGCCACGGGGCACCTGCTTTAGCTTGCGGGAGTTGTTGAAAAACACAGATGACACAATGAATTCTGAAGATGGGGGTAAGAACTAGCAGACTTTTTTTTTAAAGTGTATTTATTTATTTGAAAGGCAGAGTAACAGAGAGAGAGAGAATTTATATTTTTTACATTTTAGCTTAAATCCTCTTTGGAAAAATGAATAAATGTAACTGTAGTACAAATAAATGTAATTCACAGTAAGAGACTAAAGGAGAAAAACATGGTGGTCTTTTTAGAGGAAAAGCAGATATACAGAGAGAAGGAGAAACAGAGAGAAAGATTTTCCATCCACATGTTCACTCCACCAGTAGCTGCAGTGGCTGAAGCTAAACTGATCTGAAGCCAGGAGCCAAGAGCTTCTTCTGGGTCTCTTGCATGGATGCAAGGTCCCAAGGACATGGACCATGGTCTACTGCTTTCCCAGGACACAAGCAGGGAGCTGGATCAGAAGTTGAACAGGCAGGACATGAACCGGTGCCCATATGGGATCCTGGTGGATGCAAGGTGAGGACCTTGGCCACTAGGGTATCGCACTGGGGCTAGTGTAGTGTTATGGGGTAAAGCTGTTGCCTGTAACATCAGCATCCCCTACAGGTCATCATGGCTCATGTCCCAGCTGCTCTACTTCCTATCTAACCCCTTGCTAATGGCCTGGGAAAAGCAGCATGAGATAACCCAAGTGCTTGGGCCTGCAGCACCCACATATGAGATTTGGAAGAAGCTCCTAGCTCCTGACCTTGTATTGGCTCAACTCTGGCCATTGCGTATATTTGGGAAGTTAACAGGTAAGTGGAAGACCTCTCTGTCTCTCCCTCTCTCTAACTGCCTTTCAAATAAATAAATGATGAAATCTTTTTTCAAAACACCAAGTTGAAAGGAACAATTAGGCTCATGATTGACTTCTCAATAAAAACAAAATCCAGTGGAATGATATTATCTTTCATTTTTTAAAGAGATTTATTTATTTTCATTACGAAGTCAGATACACACAGAGGAGAGAGGAGGATCTTCTATCCGATGATTCATTCACCAAGTGGTCACCACAGCTGGAGTTCCGCCGATCCAAAGATCTTTCTCTCTGTCTCTCCTCCTCTCTGTATACCTGACTTTGTAATAAAAACAAATAAATCTTAAAAAAAATTCCTTTCTGTCTCTGAATTTTCATATAACCTTATCTTCATTTTTTTTTAAGATTTATTTATTGGAAAGTTAGATATACAGAGAGGAGGAGAGACAGAGAGGAAGATCCTCTGTCCAATGATTCACTCCCCAAGTGAGCGCAATGGCCGATGCTATGCCGATCTGAAGCCGGGAACCAGGAACCTTCTCCAGGTCTCCCACACGGGTACAGTGTCCCAAGGCTTTGGGCTGTCCTCCACTGCTTTCCCAGGCCACAGGCAGGGAGCTGGAGGGGAAGTGGAGCTGCCAGGATTAGAACCGGCGCCCACATGGGATCCCGGGGCTTTCAAGCCAAGGACTTTAGCCGCTAGGCCACACTGCCAGGCCCCTGTTCTGATTTCTATCCTCCAATGAGGCAGGGATTGTCCCCTGCTAGCTTAGATGAGCTGGGTATCATAGCCCCCATGTACATCTGGACATGGCTATTCACTGCACAGGCATCAGCAACTAAGGAGGCCTACTCCCAGTATATGCTCTCCAAGGCCAGACCACACCCCTTGTGATTTTCCCTGTGGGCAGGAACTGAGTTGGGTAGTCCCCCAAGAAACCTTACCTGAGGTGACCTCAGACTTTTGTATGCACCAACCAGTGCAACATCGGGTCCAGTCTGTCATCTGCACCAGCCAACACACATACTGGTGGACGCAGCTGCCTGGTCAGTTCTGCCCCAGTCCCATATCTCAGATGAAGTGATGGGTGCTACATCCCAGCCCAGCCAGCCCGCCACAGGCCAGACTTCACACATATTGGTGGGTGCCTCAGCATTGTCAGGATGATCCTCAGTAATACCCACCAGACCCTCCCCACGTCCTGGCTTTTTGCCAGCCTCTGCTGCAGCCTAACCCGGCCCAACCCATATCCCAGGCAGCTCTCATGCACATGTACGGGTGCTGTGGCTTAGCTTAGCCTGCCCTGCCCCAAACCTGACCCTCACATATGCTAACAGGTACTACTGCCTTGTCCAGATTGGTTTGTTCCCAGCCCTGGTTCTTGTGTTTACCAGCAGAAGGTAATGCCTAGCAGGGGAGTGCCCACCGTTTCCCTAGCAGACATGTTCCCAGCATTGAATCTTAAACCTGCCAGGGTACTGTGGTCCAGCCTGACATGACTCGTACCCAGTTCTAGCACTTGGCAGCTGGTGCTGCAGCCTAGCCTGGCTAGCCTACACCCAGTCCCAGGTTTCAGGCTCACCCATGGAAGCAGCAGCATAGCAAGGAAGTCCCCAAAGCAGCCCCAGGTCTTGTGTGTGCCTACAGGTTCTGCAGCCCAGTCCAAGATGGGTCACCTCCCATCTCAGCATTTACCAGCAGGTGCTACAGCCTGGCTCAGCCTGGCCTGCACCTAGTTGTAGTTCTTGCCAGCAGGTATACCAGCCTGGCCCAGCCTGGCCCACTCCCAAGCCTCATGTGAACTAGCAGGTGTTATGGTCCAACCTAGCCTGGCCTGTGTCCTGTCCTGGACCAACCCAGCCCACCCCTGATCCAGCTCACATATATGCAACAGGTGCTGCTGCAGCTTAGCCTGGCCTGCCTCCAGCACTGCCCCTTGTGCTCACCAGTGAGAGCTGCAGCCTAGCAAGAAAATTTCCAAGTTTCCTGTCAGACTCACTCCCAGCCTCAGATATTGCATGAGCCAGCGGGCGTTGTGGCCCAACCTGATCCAGCTTGCTTTTGCACTCACCAGTGGATACTGTAACCTAGCAAGGGAGTCCCCTAAGTTCCCTTACAAGGCATATTCCCAGAGCCAGTCTATTTTAAGTGTTTTAGTATTCATCTCCAGTTTTAAAAAAATTACTTTTTTTAAAAGCTTCATTTATTTTTATTGGAAAGTCTGATATACAGAGAGCAGGAGAGACTGAGAGAAAGATCTTCTATCCACCGTTTCACTCCCCAAGGGGCTGCAGCCAGAACTGAGCCAGTCTGGAGCCAGGGGCCAGGAGCTTCCTCTGGGTCTCCCACGCAGGTGCAGGGTCTCAAGGCTTTGGACCATCTTCTATGCTTTCCCAGGTCACAACAAGGAGCTGGATGGGAAGTAGAGCAACTGGGATACAAACTGGTGCCCATATGGAATCCTGGCGCATGCAAGGTGAGGACTTTAGCCACTAGGCTACCGCAGCTGGCACTGTATGTGGTATCTTTAGGAAATTTTACGTACAAGCATATCACTCATGAGCAAAGATAATTTTACATATTTTTCAACTGAATGCCTTTTCTTTTTTTAAGGCTTATTTACTTTCATTGGAAAGACAGACTTCTTATAAAGAGAAGGGGATACAGAGAAAGCTCTTTCACCCACTGATTCATGCCCGAGTAGCTGTCAGAGCCAGAACTGTGTCGATCCAAAGTCAGGAGCACAGTGAGCACAGTGAGCGAGTCCTGGGCTTGCCTGGACCCAAGAGGTTTCTCTCTTCCTGGTAAGTATGCTGGGAAGGGATCTTTTGGGAGCAAAGGCAGGGCCTGGCTCCACCCACTGCCACCATTGTGCAGCTGGAGAGACCTTGGGGAGTTCGACCTTAGGGCCTGGTTGGAGAAAGCTTCCAGCAGCCTGGCAGCTACTGGGAGTACCCAAGCCAGGTTGGATTCAATGCTTGGGGCCCTGGCCAAAGCCATCGCTGCTGCACAATGAGTTAGTCCTGGGCTTTGGACAGCCAGCATGCTAATTGGCACCGGGCTCTGCATGCTGGCCACCTGGTGGCAAGCTCTGGGGTCTTGGGGGTGTGGAATTGCTGCTTATGTACATTCATGAATGAGGCCACTCTGTGTGTTGGTGAGGCATCAATCCTAAGGGACTCCCAATGTCAGGGTAACTTTACTTGAAGGTAAGCGAGGGTACTGAGACCTGCTGATTTGGAGGGTAGAGGCTGGACGATCTGCATGGGTCAGATTGATAGACCAGCCTACATGTGAATCCTGTGTAGGACTTTGTTACCACCAAACAATGCTGACCACCACATGCCTGTCCATGTGAAAGCTAGAGCTGTGGGCACGTCCAGCAGGGCTAGATCTAGTACTTGACAGAATGTTGGAACAGAGGATGGATCACATTAGGCAGGGCTGTAACACTGACCAGCACATGAGAGCCAGGTCTGGGGTAGATTCTGTTGGGGATATTTGGGCCCAACCCTGTTAAAATACAAGTCTTGCTGGTTAGCTCAAGAATTGGGGTGGTGATAGGGTGAGCTAGGTGTGGCCACGGAACCTGCCATCCCTCACGGGTGCAGGGACCAATAACAGTCTGGGCAGGTCCAGGCTGTAATACCTGCATGAGCATCCTAAAAGAATATGTGGGGCAGGACAAGCCACAGTGTTCACCAGCTCATTTAAGGTCAAGATGGAAGGGTAGATTATGCTGGGCACTGGCCTAACACCCACTGGCATGCATGAAATATGAGTCTGGGAGTGGGTTAAGTGGGGGAACTTAAGAAACTCCCTTAAGTGAGAGTCATAACTCACTGATGATCACATGGTCCAGGCCTGGGGGTGGGGCAAACTGGACAAAGTAGCTCCAACTGTTGGCTAATGTACGAGTTGGTATGGATGGGGCAGACCAGGCAGGGCCCAGCAAACCTTAGCTCACCAGTAAGAACAAAAATCAGGCTGGAGCACAGGTCATGCTGAGCTAGGCTCTCACACCTACTGGTTTGCATGAGTCAGGGATGGGAGTAGACTGAGCAGGGCCAGGTTCTATCACTTGCTAGCGAGAATCGGGATGGGTGGGGGGAGGCCAAGTCAGGCCAGGCTACACATTTAAGGCAAAGGCCAGGACAGGTGAGGGACTATGCCAAGCTGGGTCAGAGCAACCATTGGCACATGCATAATCTAGGGCTGGAAACAGGCCTGGTTGGGGAGCTAAGGGGACATCCTAGCTGGGTTGGGGTTCCCACTGGTATGTGCAGGTGCTGGAGTGGGAGCTGCATTCTGGTCTGGATATGGCTGCAGTGTTCCTCAGCACAAGTGTGGGCTGGGGCTGGGCACACTGAACTGGGCTAGATTCCAGCACCAACGGGTGCTCTGGAAGACCAGGGTAGGTGGAGGACAGCCTAGGCTAAGTCTCTGCCCCTACTGAGACATGTGTGAACTGTGTCTGGGTGTGGACCAGCTTGGCCCAGTAATTGTAACCACCAGCACAGGCATAAGTTGATTGGGATGACGGACTGTGATGGAACCTGTTCTGGCATGTACACACAAGAATCAGGTCTGGTATCCTTCCAACTGAACTGCTGAACTCGGAACCTCAACTATGAAGAGAAGTGTAGGTTCTATGGTCTGATCATGGAGTGCATGTGTCAAAACTGAGCCTTTTGAGGCTCAGACAGGGCAGTGGACAGCATATCAGGGCAGTGGACAGCATATCCAGGTGCACATGGAGGATATGGCAGTCCATCAGAACCTGAAGAGGACAGCTCACACCAAAACAGAGGACGGAGGACAGAACAAATCAATCAACTACCCCAGCCACGTTGGCAGTGAAAATCTGGGCAAACGGAGACTCTACGGTGGACTATGTCAGCCAGTAGATTCTGGAGAGATTTCATTGTGCTGGAAATCATGAGACTGGCAGCAATTCAGAACTGCTGAACTATCATAACCACTTGAGCAGTGACCTCGGAACATACCCCATATCAGGGACCCTGGGATGGGTGAGAGGCTGGGTGGGGCTTCTTCTTATCTCCCTCCAAGCCCCAGGTACAGAAAAAAAAAAATTAAAAAAAGAATGTGGAAACAATGGTCTTACCTGTTTTTCTGTAGCCCTTGACCCTTTGTGCCCTAATCAACTATGTAAAGATTATCAAAATAAAATAATAATTAAAAAACAAAAAGAAGTGAAGAACTGATCTGTCATCTCCCTGTTCAAAATTAATAGTAAAACACACGATTGTTCTCAGGATCACAGCCAAACCCTTGAGCATTCCATGTAACGATCCTTCTCCCCAGAACCTCAGATGTGGGTACTGGTCCCTTCTCCCCCAGGATTTCCCAACGCAAGTCACGAACCTTTTCTGGCAGCTCTCTGCTTAAGCCAAGCACATCCATGCCTATGGCATTCATCCTGCCATCTTTTCTTGACATCGCTTCCCATGCCCCATCTTCTCTCTCTCATTTACAAGGGCAAGCCTCTTTTCATTGTGAACTCAAACAGCATCACCTTTAGCCTTTTCTCTCTCCCCACCCAGCCAAGGATAAAGACTCCATACTGCCCTCATTTACGCATTCACAATTTCCCTGACACTTTCACCTCCATCACTGTTATTTCACCATTTACATGTTACACAGATATGAGTGTGCTGAAGGCAGGACTGTGTATCATTAAGTCTGCAGGATAAACTGAGTCCCATAGATTAGCATAAAACAATGACCATCCAATTATGTAAGCCTTAAGTGGGATATCTATATCAAATAAGACAAAATACCACTTTCAAATCAGCATTAAAAAGTGAGTATATTTAATCATATTGAGTTCATAACACAGCAAATTTGTGAAAAAAATAATAATTCCTTCTACAGCATGTCCAATGAACTAGCAACAGATAAAGTTGGTCGTGTGCAGGTCAGGAAACTTCACCTTGGCAGGATTAGAACCGGGGGGCTCCATAATCATCTGGCATCCGCTCGATGTTGTATCTGAATGGGATGAAAAGATAACAGTGGAGACAAAGGTCCCATGTGAAACCCCCCGCTTACCACATCCAACACTCTCATTGCACTGATGCTGCTTTTGATGATAAGAACACTTTAGAGGGATGTTGGAGTGACTGATTTACAGGGAAATGTCAACTGTAATGTGTTTTCTCTCTCTTTCAAATGAAAAGGAAAAAAATTATATTTTGGGCCAAAAAGATTATCTTGATTTAAATGAATGCTTTATATTTAAAATAATGTATCTGTTTCTGCTTGTAATCTTACTTTAAATGTAACTACACAAACATTTGATTCAGTAACTTCTTTCAAGCAGTTGTTGTATAACTCTAAAACATGAACCAATTTTAACTGACATCAAGCACATACTTCCAATCACTTCCCAAAGGGAAATTTCTTACCTGTGGTTGGAGATGTACATGATAGGAACTCCAGGGATCTTTCGGATTCTTCGTTTAAGGTCCCTGTCAACTGTGGCCACAATGTAACACTTGTGCTGGAAGACACATTCATCCATATTTACACAGAGCTCAGTATGCACCTCAATGAGCAATGCAGAATGGTACAAGCACTGACTGGTCCTTCCCTTCCACTTTCAGAATCAAAGGGAAGGCTTCCATGAATGTCATTCATATTTACAAAAACATACAATAAATTGCCTGGGCTAAATGGAGCCCTAACAATATTATGAGCAAGAACACCAGTTACAAGCTGTGACTAGTTTTCTGTCTCCTGAGTGGAAGGGAATATGTTAGAACGGGAGGTTGGGGATCTTGGTCTTTTGAATCTCAGGCTGGGATGAGGTCTCAGATCTGCAGGTGGCACCGGTAGCCTGCCCGGGAGAAGGAAGCAAGACAAGGATCTCCAGGATCTTAAGCTTGAATCTAGCAGCTCTGAAAGCAGTAACACCTAGCAGTCAGCTGAAGTTATTTTGGGATTGTACTTTGCTTCTTTATAGGCTCCCACTGGATCTTTTTTGTTTGTTTGTTTGTTTTTACTCTTATATCTTTTTATTGGAAAGGCAGATTTTCAGAAAGAAGGAGAGACAAAGAAAGAAAGATCTTTCATCTGCTGGTTTACTCCCCAAAGTCAGGAGTCTCTGCCAGGTATCCTAAGCAGGTGCAGGAGGATGAATGGGAAGTGGCACCCATATGGGATGCTAGTGCTTGTAGGCAGGGAATTAGCCAAGTAAGACATGCACAAGCCTTAATTTGGTCTTAAGTTACAGCATGGTGTAAGGTGTGCTGTGAAAAATTAAGAGAAATTCTGGGCCACCCAAAGGATCAAGTGGCTACAGGGATGGCTGGGATGGTATTATCGTCACCAGATGAAGACGATCACATTTAGCAGAGAGAGGTTCTTACAAGAGCAATCAGTCATAGAAATTGTAGAGTGCTTGACAAGGAAGCCAGCAAGGAAGAATTAAAAAGCTACTTATGGGCCCAGTGCAGAAGCCTAGTGGCTAAAGTCATCATCTTGCATGCCCGGGATTCCAAACAGGTGCCAATTTGTGTTCCGGCTGCTCTGCTTCCCCTCCAGCTCCCTGCTTGTGGCCTGGGAAAGCAGCCAAGGATGGTGCAAAGCCTTGGAAACCTGCACCCGTGTGGGAGACCTGGAAGAAGTTCCTGGCTCCAGATGGGCTTAGCACCAGCTGTTGTGGTCGGAAGATCTTTCTGTCTCTCCTCCCCTCTGACTTTGCAATAAATATAAATATATTAAATAAATAAATAAAACTATAAATATATCTGACTTTGCAATAAAAATAACTAAATTAAAAAAAAAAAGGCTATATATTCCAACTGACATATGACACAGTTCCCTGACAGACGCTGGGGAAGAACTGACACAATTTTGGGGGCAGGCTAGTGGATGCAAAAATTTATTTATTTATTTATATCACAAAGTCAGATATACAGAGAGGAGGAGAGACAGACAGGAAGATCTTCTGTCCGATGATTCACTCCCCGAGTGACTGCAATGGCTGGTGCAGTGCCGATCTGAAGCCAGGAGCCAGGAACTTCCTCTAGATCTCCTGCATGGGTGTAGGGTCCCAAGGCTTTGGGCCGTCCTGGACTGCTTTCCCAGGCCACATGCAGAGAGCTGGATAGGAAGTGGGGTGGCTGGGACTAGAACTGGCGCCTGTAAGGGGTCCCAGTGTGTTCAAGGCAAGGACTTTGGCTGCTAGGCCACTGCACCAGGCACAGAGACAAAATTCTTTACTGAGGAGTAAACGGAAATGGAACCTCATCTCAGATCCAGAGGAAGGTAGAATCTGACACATCTATATTTACTCATAATCCTTTCACAGAAGTTTGTGGAATGAAAGTCAGTAAATGTCCCAAATCACCAACCTAGGAAATACAGGTGTGCTGAGAACTGCAACTCGTGCCTGCTCCCAAGCCTGTGCAAATGCTCTGCAGATTTTCAGTGCATTTCCACCAGTGAAGACACTATGCTCTTACGAAGGGATGCTATAGGTTTTTTTTCTCCCCATTTATTTTCCTAGATGCTTTACTGACTGAACATTCAGGAAATAAATCTACCTATATATGTATACTTTTAAAGTAAACCCAGAGAACTGATGGTACCTGAGTCACTCTCTGGACGAGGCAGTCGTCCGCATAGGTTCCTTTGTGTGAACATGGTAATCGTTCAAATCGCGGATCCTTGGCAATCCTGTAGGATTATAAAAGTGGTTTAAACATTCAAGTAATCCATTTATCTTTCTCTTTGCATGTGAAGCACAAGTAACACTATCTTAGGAGATTTTCAGGTATTGCCTCTGCCACCCTGAAACTCACACTGTAACTGGAAACACAACTTACTCGTAAGGAAAAGAGAATTGTGCATGCTGTTGGCCACTGCATCACCTCAAAATTGAATTATTTTATTTTCACTTTAGAGATAAGAAAGCAGGCTCGAGAGGGTCAATTAATTTACCCAAGGCTACACAGCTGGGAAAAGCCAGGAGTCAAAACATGAAGAACATTAACTGTCACTTTACTTGTAGGAAGTTGTCTCTATACAAATGAATACCTACATAGGCATAAGGGTGGTAATTGCAGCACAATTTCAAAGACTGAAATATTGGGGGCTGGCAAGGTAGCCTAGTGGCTTAAGTCCCCACCTTGCACACACTGGCATCCCATATGGGCGCTGGTTCTAATCCCGGCTACTCCACTTCCCACCTAGCTCCCTGCTTGTGACCTGGGAAAGCAGTAGAGGATGGGCCAAAGCCTTGGAATGCTGCACCTGTGTGGGAGACCTGGAAGGGGCTCCTGGCTCCTGGCTTTGGGTCGGAACAGTTCCAGTAGTTGCAGCCGCTTGGGAAGTGAATCAACAAATGAAAGATAATCCTCTCTGTCTCTCCAACTCTCTGCATATCTGACTTTCCAATAAAAATAAAATAAATTTAAAAAAAAGAAAAAAGACTGAAATATTGGAGACCATCTAAATATCAGCAAGATGAAAGTGAAACATTCTTGTACACTCATCCTATTTTTAAAATTGAAGCAGAGTTGTATATAAGAGGGACCTACTAAATTGTTGAATGAATACAGCAATACATATTGAATATGATCCAATTAATACAGTACAAATCCCTTTCACTGACACTCTTCCTCTAGATTTATCCCCACCTTTTTTTTTAAATATATTTAAAGAGGTAGAAAAAAAATTGTGTTGTGTTTGGTAAAGCTGACCCAGCTCTCCGGAATAGCAGTGAAAGATGACCCAAACGTTTGGGCTTCTGCCACTGATGTCAAACACCCAGATGAAGCTCCTGGCTCTTGGATTTGCCCTGGCACAGCCCTGACCACCTGGGCAATGAACCAACAGATGTAAGATCAGCCATCTGAAAAAGAGTTGGCCAGTCTTCAGGGAAGTCTGAGCTCATCTTCAGGTGGCAGAGACACCAGTGCCAGCTGAGAAGTGGGCATTTCTTCACACAGGTGAGTCCATCACTGAAAGACTTCTGAGCAAAGTGTGGTCTCAGGAAGTCTAAGCAGGCTGTGGCAAGGAGCACGCGCTAGTAGGAAGAGAGAATACTGGCTGAGAAATGTGGTAGGCAACAGTCTAGCAGGGGTGGGGAGTGTCTAGCCCATGCAGCATAGAAGGCCTGTGAAATCATTTGATCTAGTTCTGCCAAAATAACCGCAGGCGGGACTCAAAATCCAGCAAATTTACAGCAGGCTAATTTTTAACTTAATAATTTTGTATGGCCCATGAATGATGTTATAAATATTCAAACTGCTCTTGGCAGGAAAAAAGATTCCCCACTCCTGCCTGGTCTTAGAGCTTTGCTCTGTACATTACCACTTTAGGAACCACTCAGCTCTTCTCTACTAGCTCTCTCTCTTTCTCTCTCTTTTTTCTCTTTGTAAGATTTTCTTTCTTAAATTGGAAAGGCAGATACACAGAGAGAAGGAGGGACAGAGAGAAAGATCATTCATCTGCTGGTTCACTACACAAGTGGACTCAATGGCTGAAACTGAGAAAATCTGAAGCCAGGAGAAAGGAGCTTCCTCTGGGTCTCCCATGAGGGTGCAGGGTCCCAAGGCCATGAGCCATCTTGACTGCTTTCCCAGGCTACAAGCACGGAGCTGGAAGGGAAGTTGAGCTGCTGGGACATGAACCACAGTCCATACAGGATCCCAGCGGATGCAAAGTGAGGATTTTAGGCACTAGGCTATTGTACCGAGCCCTTTTCTACTATTTATTAACAAACCAAAACAAAAAACAAAAACAAAACAAACCAAACCAAAACAAAACAAAAAAATGAACAAACAAGCTAGCAACATTTTTTTTTGTTCACACCTGTCTCCAGTTCTCCAGTTAATATTTCTATTTCTCCTTGCGGCCAAACTACTTCCATCTACTAATACTTTTCAGTATACACTACAACATGATAAAGAAAACATCATATCTCCGTTGGTGTTGCAGAAAGGTCTTTTAGTATTGGGCTTGTGATAAGCTCACAGTCTTTCAAATCTAATTTTCACCTAGAGCAGCTCAAATTTAACAATGGCAACACACATTGTACATTGTTTCCCTTGAAGTGACAGAGTGGATCCCCTGCTGTTCATGTAGGAGAAGTGGCCAGCATTAGGGGCAGCAGTAAGATGCTGCTGGGGCACCTACACCAGAAAGGAGGGCTGGGTTCAGATCCTGGCTTCCCTCCCAAGTCTAGGGTCCTGCTAATGAGCACCTGAGAGACAGGAGCTGATGCCTTAGTACTTGGGTTCCTGCCACCCATGTGGGAAATCTAGACTGAGATCTAGACTTCTGGTTTCAGCCTGGAACAGTTTCAGCTATTACAGGCATTTGCAATAAAACAGCAGAAGGGTCCTGGCATGATAGCATAGTGGTTAAAGTCCTTGCCTTGAATTTGCTGGGATCCCATATGGGCGCTGGTTCTAATCCCAGCAGTTCCACTTCCCATCTAGCTCCCTGCTTGTGGCCTGGGAAAGCAGCCGAAAGACGGCCCAAACCCTTGGGAGCCTGCACCTGCGTGGGAGACCAGGAAAGAAGTTCCTGGCTCCTGGCTTCGGATTGACGCAGCACTAGCCGTTGCGGCCACTTGGGGAGTGAATCATCGGACAGAAGATCTTCCTCTCTGTCTCTCCTCCTCTCTCCATGTCTGACTTTGTGATAAAAATAAATAAATCTTTAAAAAAATTAAAAAAACAACAACAGCAGAAGGGAGACCCCACCCTGCTACTGTCTTTTGCTTTTCAGCCTTTCAAATAACTAAAAACAAAGAATTATTTTAAAAGCCTGCCAAGAGTTGGTAGTAAAGAGTGTAACCAATACAAGAATTGTATGAGTCCGTTGCTTTGATTTGTGCTAAGGCAAGTTTGCAATCAGCATAGGTGCTAACATAGTTACAAAGGCAAGGTCTCTGTGTTACCATGGAAACCATTTTGTGGACTCCCTGCCAAGATCTTTGAGAACTAGGAGGTCAGGTCAGCAGATATTCTTTGAAAACACTGACTGTAATTCCAACAATGCTTCTTGGAGAAATCCAGAAATCTTATTTTAAGATTATTTATCAATTTGAGAGGGAAAGCAATAAAGAAAGAGATGGAGAGAAAGAGAAAATGGGAATATTCTGTTTGCTAGTTTGGTACCCAAATGGCCACAACAGCCAGGTTTGGGCCAAGCTGAAGTCGGGAACTCCATCATGCACACAGGCGGCAAGGGTTCGTGCACTTGGGCCATCCTCCACCCCCTTTTGAGGCTCATCAGTGGGGACCTGAATCAGAAGTGGAGTACCAAGGACTCAAAACTGTGCTGCTGTATGTGGCACAGGTGTCGCAGCAGTAGCTTCCCTCACTGCACCACAGGGCCAGCCCCAAGACTAAACTAAAAATTAAATGCCAATCTGAGTGTGGGATTGTGAAGACATCTAGGGAAGTAACTGACAGTTGAACATAACATAACATCAGTATGACCATGTAATTCAGTTCAGAGCCTCAGTTTAAGGCTTTTTAAAAAAGATTTTATCTTTTTATTAGAAAGACAGACCAGATTTTTGGAGAGGAGAAACAGAGAGAAAGATCTTCCACCAGCTGGTTCACTTCCCAAATGGCTGCGACAATTAGAGCTGAGCCAATCTGAAGCCAGGAGCTTCCTTGAGGTCTCCCACTCGGGTGCAGGGTCCCAAGGGTTTGGGTCATCCTCTACTTGTGCCTTCCCGGCCCATAAGCAAGGAAGTGGAGCAGCTGGGATACTAATCAGTACCTATATGAGATTCTGACGTTTGCAAGGTGAGGATTTAGCCATTGGGCCATCACACTGGGCCCAGTTTAAAACTTTCTAAAAGTGAAATACTTGCTTTGTAAATTTCATAGAGTATTTGAATGCTGCTATACTTCTGATCCAACCCATTCCTTATGACCTGGGAAGGCAATGGAGGATAGCTCAAGTCGCTGAGTGATTATACCCATGTGGGAGACTCAGAAAAAGCTTGTGCCTTATGCCTTTCGGCTGTCCCAGCTCCAGCTGCTGTAGCCAATTGGGAAGTCAACCAATGGATGGAGGTACTCTCTCTGTAAAATCTGCATGTCAAATAAAATAAATAAATCTTTTTATAAAAAGAAAGTAATTGCTCAAGGAATATTTGGACAGTAACCAGAAGAAGGAGAGTCAACAGAATCTTCAATATACACATCTAAGAAAAATCCAGACTGGATCTTCCTTACCTTAGTGCCACTCGATACTTCTGCCCCAATTTTTCAATTTCTGCCATGACACAATCAGTTATACAAGGGATACCTGCCAGGAAAAAACAAACAGATATTAGTAACTCAACCAGTGAAAAAATTCTGTGAAATATATCCTGTTTAGAATCTTTGAAAGACCCAGGAGACTTCTGGAAGGACAAAAGACAAAGAACTAGAGAAGAAACCCCTAGTCAACATTAACAGTAATGGGGGAATTGCTCCAACCCCACACCACAGTTCCCAAAGGTATGTGTCAGCATCTGGGAGAAACAAATTTAAGTTAGATTCTGTTGTTACTTTTATTTTAATTAAATTTTTATTTTTTAAAGACTTGTTCGTTTATCTGTTTTTTAATTAGAAAGTCAGATATACAGAGAGGCAGAAAGACAAGAAGATCTTTAGTTCGATGATTTACTTTCCAAGCAGCTGCAACAGCTGGAACTGTGGGGATCCTAAGCCAAGAGCCAGGAGCCGCTTCTGGGTCTTCCACACAGGTGCAAGGTCTCAAGCCTTTTTGGCCGTCCTCGACTGCTTTCCCAGGCCACAAGCAGGGAGCTGGATGGGAAGTGGAACTGCTGGGATTAGAACCGGTGACCAAATGGGATCCTGGCACATGAAAGACCAAGATTCTGGCCAATAAGCTACAGAACCAGGCCTTTAGTTTTATTTTAAAGCGCTTATTTTGGGCCTGATGTGGTAGTCTAGCAGCTGAAGTCCTCGCCTTTTATGCGGCAGGATCCCAAATGGGTACTGTGGCCAAGCTGCTGTTTGGGTTGGCTGAATCTTCCATCAGCATGCCGGGGTTTGGGTCTTTCCTCCAATTCTGACCCAGCTTCCTGCTGATACACACCCCAGAGGCAGCAAGTATAGGTTCAAGTACTATTACTTCTCTGTCACCCACGTGGGACATTTGGAAATTCTAGCTTCTGGCTAGAATTGGGCATTTGGGGAATTTAGGGAATAAATCAACAGATGGAAGGTATGTCTCTTTGCTTTTCAAATAAATATAAACAAGTAAAATTTCTGTAAGAAGTACTTTATCAATTTTAAAAGGACCTACATGAAAAAATAACTATGTTCTATTTTCTACCCTACCAAGCCTGATCCTCACTGATGACTAGTTTACTACACTCTGCCTCATTTTTCTCAATTGGCGTTATCTTCACAGATAATAAGCATATATAGTAGTTCTTATATATTAATTTTAGCTCCCTGCTTGTGGCCTGGGAAAGCAGTTGAGGATGGCCCAAAGCTTTGGGACCCTGCACCTGTGTGGGAGACCCAGTAGAGGCTCTGGGCTCCTGGCTTCAGATCAACTCAGCTCCAGCTGTTGTGGCTACTTGGGGAGTGAACATCAGGATGGAAGATCTTCCTTTCAGTCTCTCCTTCTCTCTGTATATCTGCCTTTCCATTAAAAACAAATAAATACATCAGCTTTCCTATTTATTCCAAATTTTAAAATATCTAGCATTCTAAAAAGCATTTATTCGTATTGGAAAGAGAGGTTCACAGAGAAAAGGAGAGACATAGAGAAAGATCTTCCATCTGCTGGTTCACTCTGCAAATGGGCTACAATGGGTGGAGCTGATCCAATCTGAAGCCAGAAGCCTCTTCCAGGTCTCCCACACCAGTGCAGGGTCCCAAGGCTTTGGGCCATCTTCTGCTGCTTTCCCAGACCATAACCCAGGAACTAAATGGGAAATGGAGAAGCCAGGACATGCGCTAGTGCCCATATGGGACATTACTGCTTGCAGGTGGAAGATTAGTCAATTGAGCCATTTGCATGCCCCCAAAATCTAACATTCTAAAACAGAAATTTTTCACTATAGGCCCGGCATGGTAGCCTAACAGATGAAAGTCCACGCCTTGCACACACTGGGATGCCATATGGTCTCTGATTCCAATCCCAGTAGCTTTGCTTCCCATCCAGCTCCCTGCTTGTGGCCTGGGAAAGCAGTTGAGTACAGCCCAAGGCCTTGGGACCCTGCACCCGTGTGGGAGACCTGGAAGAGGTTCCGGGCTCCTGGCTTCGGATTACCACAGTTCTATTTGTTGCAGCCATTTGGGGAGTGAATCAACAGATGGAATATCTTCCTCTCTGCTTCTCTTCCTCTCTAATAAAAAAAAAAATCTTAAAAAAATTTTCCCACTTTGTTAAAAATTACTGTCCAGAATGATGGTTAAAGCATTCTGTTTTCTGAACCTTGAGTGCTAGCTATTCCCAGTCAAATATGCATTACTTCAGTTTTCTGAGAATGGTTATTCTCTGGTGACCACTGCAAAGTGAATGGCCAACAATCCTATTAACTAGAACTCCACATCCCTCCTTGCATGCAGATCATTTTGTACAAGTGTTGCACAGATTTGAAAACATAATACTCACACTTGGCATACAGACAATCCATCATTGATTGTACTAAGTCCAGCTTGGCTTTAATGGAAAAGTTGATAAAGTTAGTGTCAACGAGGATGTGGTAAGGTGGGCCCAGTTGTGTGTTATACTGGAAGAATAAGCAGGAAGGGTGCTGTGGGCTGATGGGAAAACAAAAACATAGAGTCAAGCCTACTTGGCACTTTGGAGTTATCAACAAAAACAAAAAAGGAAGTCTCCAGAAAGTCTGCTACACATTAAACTTGTTGGCGCTTATTGGAAGGGAGGAAGATAATGGTATGGCTTAACTTCAGGTTTGTTACCACACCTCACATGAGGTGGATCCACTCCAGGGGCCCTCTAGTGGACACCGTCCAGCAGCTCAGGCTGTGGGAAGGTAGAACAGAGCTAAGGTGGTGAGAACTTGGCTGCAGGTCTGTGCTTCTCACAGGCTCCTGAGATGGCCCATGTGCAGGCAGTGTGGAGAGCAGCCTGCCCCATGTCAGGATCCTGCACTGGACACAGCAGTGTCTGCTTTTCCTCTAACAGCCCGAGATGTCTGGGCTGAACCTGACAGTGACTCTCAGCACTAGTTTATCTGTCGAGTATCCAAAAACAAAACAAAACACAATCCATTTATTTAAAAGCAATAACCTTCATTCTAAACATATATCCTTACTTCTTTTTTAAGGTGTTTATCATGATCAAGACTTTAAAAAGACTCCTGGTAACATAAGAGATTAGCAGTATATTATACTGCTAGGATTTCAGAGGCTATTTCACTGCTCTTTGAAATCCCAAAACCTTCAGTTCGCTGGAAGTGACATATGTCCACCAATACTTCTTTTATTTGCATCATTGTGCCAGGCACACTAATAAAAATTGAGCAGACTGGTTATGGGAAAGCAAGGCTTTTTTTTTTAAGAGGTTTATGGTTTTAGAATGTCTCTTCTAACTTAAGTCAACATTTTGACTACTTACACTTCTCTTTCCTTCAGTGCACTGGGATCTTTCTTCTCCTTCTTCTTAGGTTTTAATCTATCCTTTTCTTTACTGAAATAAAAAAAAACCCACATAGTAGTTATCATCTCATTCTACAATCAAATCTCTGTTTGTTTTCAGTTCACATTTACTTTGTGACTGCTCTATGGCAGCATCAGCGTACACTTTCTGAGCAAATAACCACAGTGCGAAGTCACCAGGAAGCATCAAGCTTAGTTTATAAACCCTGTACTTCAGACTGTCAATGCCTAAACAGAAACTGATGAGATGCATGAACAGATTCTCCCACAGACCTCTTCCCAAGGCTAAACCCTCGAAATGCACCAACATTTAACTGCTGGAAACAAAATACTACAAAATGGAGTGTCATTAAAAACGACATGATCAACTCATTAAGGATAAACTGTGAATCTCTTAAACTCCTCCAAGACCAATCCTTCCTTCCTAACTTTACACCCTTCCCTAGAACAGAGTTAGGGGCCACCTGGCAGCAGGGTCTCAAACACCACTCTTCTTCCACAGCGACCTGGCTTCCTACAGGATTTGTAAAATGGAGAATGTTTCCTATTCTCTTTCAAAAGGAGGCTGGACACAACCAATGCCTAGGGTCTCAGATCTCAGTATCCTTCAACAACGGCTTAAAAAATAAATAAATAAACCCAAGCCAAAGCATATTTCCCTCCACTTGTAAATATAGTACGCAATAATAGCAAGACAAAAACCATCGAGCTCACAACCCTGATAATCCTTAATCATAATAGGATCGACAACCCCAGGGCGGAACAAAGTGGACACTCAAGAAACATTGAATCCCTCGTGTAACCCCTCAGGAATTAAAGGAACACTACCCCACGGTACATAAATCTGAAACAATAACATCCAAAACAAACCCCAAAACCTTTTATTGCTTATTCCCTCCAGTCTCCTGGGTCCCCGGCCATCTACGGACCCCGTTGACCATGGACACTTACAGCCGCTCGTCTCTGAGACTCAGCATTCGCTTCATGGTCGCATACTTCCTCGCTTTCTTCTGCTTCCCCTTGAGACAGAAATAATAAAGTTAAAAACACTGAAAATACCCTGACTTTTATTTATTAAGATTTAATTTTTCTTGCAAAGTTAAATACACAGAACAAAGAAAAGACAGAGAGGAAGATCTTCTGTCTGATGATTCCCCAAGCGGCCGCAACAACCAGGGCTGAACTGATCTGGAGCCAGGAGGCAGGACCTTCCAGGTCTCCCATATGGGTGCAGGGTCCCAAAGCTTTGGGTCGTCTTGGAGTGCTTTCCCAGGCCACAAGCAGGGAGCTAGATGGGAAGTGGGGCTGCCGGGATTAGAACTGGTGCCCATATGTGATCACCGGCATTTCCAAGGCGAGGACTTTAGCCGCGAGACCACCGCGCCAGGCCCCAATACACTGGCTTTTTAAAGGCCCCTTTCTTTTTCCTTGTCCATACTGCCCTTATTCCCCGAAGCACAAGTCCCTTCTCCCCATGTTGTAAGGAGTCACCTGCTCCGCTCGAGGCACTTAAGAAGACCAGAAGGGGCACAAGCAAGGCTGAGGTGGGTGGAATACTGCCTAGCCCCAGTTTGCCTCACTGTGGGGTCTCACAACACTTTTTCCAGGACCCTCCCCTCTCACCATGCTGCCGCCGCGGTCTTGTTTCTTCCGGAATCACCGACAGCGCGATGATTCTACGTCATCGACCACTGTTTCCGGCCGAGGCGAGCCCGGAAGCGGAAAAGCCCCGAGCCGAGCCGGCTCATCTTCCCCAGCAGAATCTTTTACTGAGGGGTTTTTTGGTGGGGGGAAGGGTTGCGGGCTGGTGTTCTTCTCCTGGGTGTCACTGTCACTCTATGGCAGCCCCAGGGCTGGCCCTAGGCCGCGCTGTCAACTTCCCTCGCCCCCGCCCCCGGCTCGGGTAACGTTCCTCTCCAAGCCTGAGGCACAAGAGCTGGCTGCACCTGTGTTCCAGAAGCAGGGAGAACAGACAGGGTAGGGAAATCGGGAGCTTGGGGTTGCCCGGCGGTGTGGGGAGACACGTCCTGCTCCCCCAGGGCTCTGCGTCAAGCCTCTGCCGGCCAGCTAGCCCTGCGGCGTTGGCTGCTCATGGGGCTGGGGACGTCAGGGAGGGCGACTCTGGGCGAGGTGCCACTTTGCTGGCGCGACAGGGGGTCTCCCCTAGAGGGCCCCCGCCTGGCAGGGAGGATGGTGGGGAACGGTTGACCGTTTATTATAAAGGGGAAGGGAGATTGGTGACTACAAAAAGGGGAAGATAATTTTTTTTTAGTACCTTCTTAACCGTTTAAAGAGTGCCTATCCTTTAAGAGTCGGTGGGAAGCCAGAGATGGGTCTTTTAAGGAAGAGGGTGCGCACTCCTCCGTGGATGGGCGAGGTCTGTAAACTTGAAGGACTGGTGTCCCGTACGTGTGACTTACGTGTTCTGTGCTTCACCATCACTTCAGGACCCTCGCTTTACAACCTGGGGAAGCGGCGCCGACACTCTCCTGGTGCTAGAATGCCAGTAGTATTCTCAGATATCAAAACAAAAACGGCTGCGGTTTAACCCTTACCGTGAAGAATAGTGTACTGGTGAACCGGGGCTCCCCAGGTGAGGAGAAGGCGTACCTTCCTTCTTGGCTCTCACAAGCAGCATGGGTTGGCCGGCGTGTCCGGTGGTGGTAGCCCTCAAGTACCTTCTGGAGTGTTCGGTGCAGGGTGGTTTTCTGGTGTTGGTCTGGGGATAGACAGTATTCTTTCTGTTTCTCGTTGAGGCATGCGTTCAGAATGCTTTACTTCACCTTCCAGAAGGTTTTAGGTTTTTGATGTTGAGCTAATGTTAGAGGTGAGGCTCTGCTGTGATTGAAGGGGCATCTCTCTGCTAGACTGTATTTCATGAACAGGGCCAGAACAGCCACTTTTCTGCCTGCGTTTGACCTTTTGGCAAATAGACATACATACATACATACATACATATGTATTTTTGCAACAGTGGTCAGATTTTTCTTTTCTAACAGTAAAGGGGTTGTATAAAGGTTCAGAGGGAATCTTGTGTGCATTTAAGTAGTAATTTGCATGTAAATTGCTTCAGCCCAGGCCCAGCCCTGGCTGGTTGACCAGCCATTGTGGCTGTTGGGATAGTAAACTAGCCAATGGAAGATCTCTCTCTTTTCTGTGAGTCTGCTGTTCAGATAAATAAATCCTTAAAAAAAAATTAAGACACTCCTTTGAGAATGTGTATTTTGTAATCCATGAACAGTAACATTATTTTTAAAGGTTGTAGAAATTTCTGTTCTGAGAATTTTCTGATTTCCTTGAGCGTTAATACTTCGTGAGGATTAAGTGAGTGTAACAACAGCATGCAGATCAGAAAATACTTATAGAAATAGGTTCAGTTGTATTGTAATGCATTGCAGTCTAGCGTTTTTGGTAGCCTGGAATTAAAGCAGTAGGATACTCTATTGCGTTCGTTGAGATAGGGATTGGGGCGGTTGTGTTGACTTGTATTGAATGGGAGTAGAAAGCAAATGCTTTAGGATACATGCTTGCGAAAAAAAGATTATTTTAGTACTTCTCATGAAGAAGGAAAATAAAAGCCAGGAGAATTGTGTTCTGCTCTCCTGCACACTTACAGATAAAGAATCTCAAAGCATCTGGCCCGGAAATCATCTGCACTCTGATCCATCTACGTTATCATTGAAGCTGACAGCACTTTCTAAATTGTGGATAATGAAAGCTTCCTTAAAGAACGCCTTGTATTTCAGTATTAGAAAATTTTAGGTAGATCCGCTTTTGCAGCTGTCATGGAACAAGTATAATTTATTTTCTTTCAAGTTAGAGTTTTTACATTTATTTTTATATATCATGACACCCCACTCCCCGCACCAATAAACATTGGTTGCTGTTAAATGTTGTTTGGTAATTGTGGTAGCTTTGGGTCTTGAGATTGAATTAGCTTGTAAGGGGACATCAGAGAGAGAGATTGCATTGGCATGTTTGTTCATTCAGAAAGCTTTTCCTGAGGGCCATTCTGTCCTAGAAAATGTGCTAGATATTCTATAAGACTTCAGTCCTGTGGTGCAGAAAAGATGGGTGAAGAGATCAATTATGGCAGGAAGTTGAATTAAGGAATATAAATTGAAATTTTTGAGAGAATTACTCTACCAATCCACCTTTCTGGAAGTGGTCTCAGGTTAGAGTACTGTTGTATAATACTTAGTTAATATGTCAATATGCATATGGTAGATGCTGTGGTATGAACAGATTCTGATATATTCTTTTTCTTTTTTTTTTTTTAAAGATTTGATTGTTTTTTTTTGAAAGATAGAGAAGTAGAGACAGATACATCTTCCATTTGTTGCATCACCCTCCAAATGGCCGCAATGGCCAGAGCTGAGCTGATCTGAAGTCAGGAGCTTCTTCCAGATTTCCCTTTGTGGATACAGGGGCCCAAGAAACTCGAGCCATCCCGCACTACTTTCTTAGACCATAAGCAGTGAGCTAAATTAGAAGTAGAGCAGCCAGAAACAAGAGCTGGTTCTTACACAGGATGCTTGTCAGGGGTGTAGGTGGATGATTAGACTACTGTGCCACTTGCTGGCTCTGACTCATGTTATTTTAACCCTTTTCTTGTTCACTTTGGTAAGCTCTAATCCAAAGATCCTTGCTAGTGTATGTAGTGAAGCTATTAAAAAGAGAAAGTAATTAGGACTTCCCAGTCTAGTTTTTCATGTCTTGAGGAAACAGAAACCCAACTGGGTTATGGAGATAGTTTGTAGAAAAGGGATTGAAGGGAATTTGAAAGAAGTTTTAGCCCAGCACCAACTAATGAATTGAGACAGTGATTATGGCACTGTGGTTAGAATCCCAAGGGATGGGCCTACCGCAGTAGCTAAGTGGCTAAATCCTCACCTTGCAAGAGCCAGGATCTCATATGCATGCAGGCTCATGTCCTGGCTGCTCCACTTTCCATACAGCTCCCTGCTTGTGGCCTGGGAAAACAGTAAAGGATGGCCCAAAATCTTGGGACCCTCTACCCCTGAAAGACTCAGAAGAAGCTCCTGTCTCCTGGCTTCAGATCAGCTCAGCTCTGGCTGTTGTGATTGCTTGGGGAGTGAACAGATGGAAGATCTTTGTTTCTCCTTTCTGTAAATCTGCCTTTCCAATAAAAATAAATCTTAAAAAAAAATCCCAAGGGAGAGTGAGAATATAGATTTGGGAACCATGTACAAATTAAAAATTACTGTCTAATGGTTTTGAATTTCTAGAACATTGGAAAGACTTCCCAGTGTTTCTGTATACCTTTCCCCCAGCTTCTTCTGTGCTAGCTTCTTACATAACCATGATTCACTTGTCATATTTAAGAAATTAATGTTGATGTAATGCTGTTAGCTAAAGTACAGCCCTCATATGCATTTCACTGATTTTTTTCATTGATCTCCTTTTTCTGTCCTAAGATCCAGTTCAGAATAGCACATGGCATTTAGACGTGTGGAATTCTGATAAATAGGTCGAGGCTTCAGTGAGTACCTTTTTGGTGCTCTGTATGTGGTCCAGTTATCTCCTCCGACCCATGCTGAAGAGTGGAAGTTGTTGGCCGTGAGGATGAAGAACTGCCTAGATGGTTTTGTATCCCTTGATTCCCAGAGTGCTGCTGAGTACACGCAGGAATGTGGCATGATGCCCCTGAGAAGCTAAAAGCCAGTCCTGCATGAGGCCCCCTCCTGAGCTCCAGTAGCACCGGTGCCCATCTTGGAGCGTTCATTATGTAAGACAAGAATGGATTGGATACTTGTCAGTCTTAGCTAACTTGTATGGTTCTAGAGCACTGAGGGCTGTTTTACTCATTTTAGAATCCCCAAGGGCCAGCATATTGCTTGGTATGCAGAAGGTTCTCAGTGCACTTTTGAAGAAATTCATAAATCCTCGTGTATGTGTGTTTTAAGATTTATTTGAAAGGCAAATGGTAGTGGAAAGAGATCAGTGTTCTTCCACTGGTTCATTCCCCAGATGGCTGAGTGAGGGGCTGGGCCAGGCTGAAGCCAGAAGGCCAGAACTCCGTCTGCATCTCCCACATGACTGGCAGGGGCCCAAGCAGTTGGGCCATCTTCTACTGCTTTCCCAGGTGCATTTACACAGGGAGCTGGATCAGAAGTGAAGCATCCGGGATTCAAATTATTATTCCTGTGGGTGCTGGCGGTGCAGGTGGCAACTTAACTTGCTGGCCTCAATAAATTTTTGCTTCATTTCATTGATTGGTTTAAAAATTTTTTCACTTGACCTAACAATTATCTATTTGAAGTTAAGCCATTTCTGATTGTCATTTCTGTGACTATGACTAAGTTTCTCTTCTTGTAATATTAAATGCAGAACTATTCAATGTCTATTTAAAGTTGTTCTTCATTTCAGCTACATCAATAATCCATTTTATTTAAGGTAAGAGAATTGGAAGCAATGGATTATAGTAACCATAGAAAATTTTGTTGGCTTTTAAGTCTGTGAGTGACAATTCTAGTTCATCCCACTGGGCTGAAGGTCTGGCCTTTTGCCTGTCACTTCATGCACAGTTAATGAAATAACAACTTTCTAGACTTATTGAGGGAGACGGCCTGTCAGATTCAGCGAATTTGTTTAAAAATCTTAATAGCCAAAACTCAGTTCCCAGAGTCACCTAAGCATAAACGCTGCCATGGGATGGGGACATGGGGGCCTGTCCTAGTTCTGCGGGTCAGCATGTAGAGTCCATTTTACTACAGAAAAAACACCAGGATAAGAGGGAGGAGTAAATTGAAGCTAGTATTGTTTTTAAATACTTGAACAAAAATGAATAGAGCTTTATGAATTTGTTGTTTAGATACCATCCTTAATCTTTCTGACTTGGGACTGTTGCAGTGGCTCAATTGACTGGTCCTCTGCCTGCAAGCACTGGTGTCTACTGGGCACCGGTTTGTGTTCTAGCTGCTCCACTTCCTATCCAGCTCCCTCCTTATGACCTGGGAAAGCAGTGGAAGATGACCCTAAATTTTGGGACCCTGCACTCTTGTGGGAGACCCAAGGGAAGCTCCTGATTCTTGGCTTTGAACCAACTCAGCTCCAACCATAGTGACCATTTGGAGAATGAACCAGTAGATGGAAGAGCTTTTTCTTCTTCTCTCGCTTTCTCTCCTTCTCTGTAATTCTGCCTTTCTAGTAAAAATCTTTAAAAAAAAAAATCTGTCTGAGCTAAGCTAGGTTTCATGAAGACTGACTTGGTGACACATACATTGGATGAATGTTTAGAGGGAATACCAGGGGAAATATAAATTCTAGCGGAAGGAATAGAATTGTGCTTTAAACTTATTTAATGTCTACATAACTGGCAGTTACTACTTATGCTTTTTTTTTTTTTTTTTTTTTTTAAAGATTTATTTTTATTATTTTTTATTGGAAAGGCGGATATACAGAGAGGAGAGACAGAGAAGAAGATCTTCCATCCGATGATTCACTCCCCAAGTGAGCCGCAACGGGCCGATACTATGCCGATCCGAAGCCAGGAGCCTCTTCCGGGTCTCCCACGCGGGTGCAGGGTCCCAAAGCTTTGGGCCGTCCTCAACTGCTTTCCCAGGCCACAGG